CTACTTTGAGAATAAAAATGCGGCTACATTCGGGAATCCATATCATCTCTGAATACACCATCGAAATGGATTTTTCGGTGAACTACGAAGATAGGCTAGTCCAGAGGTGTTCTATGAAGGTTGTTTGTGAAGGCTGCCTACCACAATAAGTACTCATAGATGAATTGTGATACCTTTTTATCAGGTCCCATAAGTAAATTACAGCATAAAAATTCATGTTCCCGAAATTTCACCCTGTCGTGAATGCCAGATTAATCATACACGATTTGGTAAGACCTCCGGAAGGAACCCTACAAAGTAGAAGAGGTGATTATGAAGGATACAATATGATGGGAACGACTGGGTTCCTGTTCGAAAACACCGTTTTCCTATTCTTTTTGATTCTCTCTTACCTCTCTTTGCATGAAACTTCAAAGAGAACGTTTTTCTCATGATACTTGGTAGTTTCTTTTGTTTTTCCCTTTTTTGTGGGACCTAATGAAACTTGGTGTGAAGTGGCAGGAAGTGCGTTATCACGCACGAATGGTTCCGGAATCGAAACCCGGATTTACATATATCTGCATAGGCCAACCGGGCTTTACATGCCTCCGGTGTTTGTTAATTGGTATCAAGCTCGCCTGGGAGAATAATAGCAGTGACTTGCACATCAGCTGTTCAACCGCAATTCATTGTATGGGCCACACACGCATTCAATTCGCCAAAACAATGCCAAATGATGTCCAATGCAGAGCGCATTCTGGTTGAGTTGAGGGGACTGGTTGACGTAAAAGGCTTTGAAACTTCAAATCTTTATGTGTTTCATCATTCAATCATTTTAACACTTGCGGATAAGAACTTCTCAAAGGGCAAGCTCCGTCAGGCATACTCCCTCGTTCTAGGCTTTGCGGTATGCACTTCAAAGAACGCAGCCAACGAAATAGGCCTCTATGCTCTCAGAAAAAAATATGAAAATGATCATTATATGTAGGTAGATGAAAAGAAATTCGTAAAGGAGAATCTCCATCTCAGGTGATTCTTAATTTGATAGTAAATGCTATGAAAGAGAGGAAAGAAAGGAGCAGCCGAGGAAGGCATGCTGGCCTTGTGATTTTAGCAAGAGAGGAAACGCCGTTGATGGCAGTGACATTAATTTGCTCAAGCAGGCGTAAACACAATGGAAGACTTTTTTGCCGCCAGAATAGATGGAAGGCAGAGACTTATTCGTCATTTGCTCACGTTTTCCTTGAAGGAGACCTGGTCGAGTGCTAACGAAACAGATATTCCATTTGTGTAAAGAGCAAAACTTTGAGTATCCGTGGAGAGTAAATAAGTTGATTGGCACTTACAATTGCCTTGAGAAACTGGGCACGAAACCCAATAAGGAAAGAGCGGGAAAGAGAACATGGATAGATCTGAAGAGGATTCGCTGAAACCAACCCACATCAATGTCAGTAATCTCAACTTCTGAAAAGATGTTGTTGTATTAGCAACCGGCAGTTATGGAGTATCAGGTCCACGAGGATCTAGAGCAAAGAAATGTGTAAATGACATGAAGTACCTACACCCACTGGCTGCTTTCATAGTCCGCGATTTGGCCTCCGAGCGACCGACCGAGGGCGCCGCCTGCCCTTGTTTACACTGAATCTTTGTCGATACCGCCGGACGAGTAGTCCCCCCGGCGTCTCGCGCGTTCGCTCGCTCGCTCGCGGACTATGAAAGCAGCCACTATACCGTCCTCGTTCGCCGCATACCCTTTTTGAAGAAGGGAGTGCACAAATGCTCGACAGGCTCATACGTCTCATAATAATGTCGAAGCACATATTATAAGAAACACTCGGGTAGACTTATCTTGACTACCTTTTCGTTCAATCTCTAATTCGATTAACACTGTATTTATCATCAAAATCTACAAAAATCGGCCGATGGACAGGCAATTCGCAGACATTTTCCTTTTAAATAGAAGAAGTCTTTGATTCAAAAAAGCTGGTTGCAGTGAATTCAACGTCATCAACGTAGTGTATGTTTTCTTGAGAGGAAAGCCCTTCGGAAGTCTGCCCAGATATTGGTCTCAAATGGGATTGGCATGTAGAATGGGCGATGAAGATACACACATGCAATGTGATACGTGTGTTCTTGACAACGTGAGGATGAGCGTTGTCATGGAAAACACGAACGTAGTTTCTTCCCAGTCCCTTTTTTTTCCGATCGTGCGGATAAGGTTCCGGGTATGTAGTTCTAGCGGTGCTTGTATCACCATACAGAAACAGACCGTAGTATGGCATGTATATTTCCTTGGAACCTCAAAATCCTCAAGCGACGGCTGCACTGACGATCTTTTAAACCCGGGAGTCAGACAGCGATTCTTTTGCATGTGTCGTAGAGGATCCAGTCCTCACCATCAGTCGAGTTCAGTGATTTCGTTGAGTGAAACTGAAGTGGATGAAGAAACATGCATGTGATAAGGGTTGTTGGTCAGCTAATGAGGATGCGTGGTAGCAAGAAATTGAGTGAATGACGAAAGGCAGACATCGGTTGCCCTCAAGCTACTGCCCGTTGGTAAAGACGGCCTTTTCTTCGATTTCGCTGGCAAGACGGTGGTTGCCGATGAGAAGAGGCTTCAGAAATGGTGT